GAAGAGATGGGAAGTTTGCGGTGGAATTCTTTGTCATTGCCATGTCGTTTAATGTTGAGAATGCAAACACTGCCAGTACACTCGAGTTCGCGGCACGGCCACGGGGTGCTTGTACACCACGTCATTCCAAGCCCCCGTCGTGTGACGAAGGCGGCCACGATGTAAAGACCTTGCCAAAACATGCAACCAGAGCCCCCACGCATGGATTTGGCGCGATTGCAGACTTCTTGACATGTCGATATCACGAGATGGCCGACATGGCCGACTCACGCGCGATGGACAGCGGCATGTTGGGTCGTATAGTGGCTCACGTTGTCAATTGCCATGTTTCTCGGTGCAAGCTGGGGCAGCAGTATGTGCCAAGGCGTTGAGGGGGGTCGCTCCGCACCATCCTTTCTCAAGTCGCGGGCTTCACCATTGTCGTCCTAGCCCAGGTTCACGTAAGCAAGTTCACCTCCCGACATCTCCACACGAGTAGCACGTGCTTCTCGCCACTACACTACGTTGCCGCGTCAAGAAATCGGCATGGCACGCCAGTCGACTCGTCCGCTCGTGTTGGTGTGCTTCGGTCCCCTGTTGACCTTCATGGTGTAGGTTTTAACGCTGCACGTAAGGCGTTAAATACTTTAAACGTAGTATACCGAACGGTCAAGTCATGAATGGGGACTTCAAACTCGGCGGACGCGGAGAAACTTTCCTTGCCTTGGTCAAGCTCTGGTCTTCAAAAACGGGTCATGCAGTGCGCTGGGAAGCCACGATCGGGTGTCGACATCCGTACCCTCGCGTCCAGTCGAAGCGTGTGCGACACACTTCACGTCGGTGTCGCGATTCGTGGGCATTCTTCCATGAAATGCCGCACGGGTCGTGGAAGAATACACCAATTCCAGCAACCACTTCGGAGACACCACGTTCACCAAACAACGCCGCCATCGATAACACCCCTGTAGCTCAGATGCGCACGCCAGCGTGTGGCGCTGATGGACATGCCGTTTTCAAATGTTGTTTACCGCGTTTTATTCATTAAAACGTATCTCCACCAGATGGCGAGAACGCCGCCCATGCGTTTTCGAGTCACTTTTGGCATAGAAACCACACGTACGATGCTCGCGGCGCTCTTGACGACGCCATTCGCGCTCGCAGCGGCGGGCCTCCTTGGCTTTCTCGGATACCTGTACACGCTTCCGTCGCACAAGCTGATCGGGATGCCGGCCAACTACGTGGCTGTCGATGAATCCGAAGTGAAGCCAGGCCACGGCCCGATCCACCGCGTCGGCACATGTCCTCGTCCCTTCGCCCCCACCATGTTGCACGCGCTGCAATCCACCGTCAAGAAGTTTGGTAGCAACCCTTTTCTCGGCCACCGTCCGTTTGACAGCGACGGTGTTGCCCTCGACTATGTTTGGGAAAGTTACGACGACGTGTACAAGCGCATTCAAAACTTTGCGGCGGGCCTTCGCCATGAAAAAATGATGGAACCTACGAACGACAGCGAAAAGCCCTTGTGTTTGTACATGAAGAACCGACCGGAATGGGTCATTGGCCAGTACACAGCCATGTACCTCGGTGGGTTCGCGGTTGCGTTGTACGATACCCTCGGCGCAGACTCGACGCAATTCATCTTGAAGCATACGCAGTCCCCGACCGTGGTGTGCACAACTGCAGAGCTCGCGGGAGTGTTCAACGCCAAAGCGACTGTTCCAACGCTCAAGTTTGTTGTCGTCGTTGACGTTGACACGATTTCGACGGACCACGCGGGTGCTGCGACTGCCGCTGGGCTCAAGATCGTCACGCTCGGTGAAGTCGAAGCCATTGGCGCCATGTACCCGATCGAGCCCGCGACGCCTGGCCCGAACGACATCTACTGCCTCATGTACGTCGTGTTTCGTCGTAGACGCTGGACCGAGCGAGCTGCGATTCCTTGGCATTGTCATTTGTACGTTGTCTGATGCGAGCGATACTGCTGTAGCTACACGAGCGGGACGACCGGCGACCCCAAGGGCGTGCCGATCACGCACTTGAACGTCCTGACTGCGGACGAAGGCATGCGCGAGCGCATTTGCTCGGGGCCGACGTCGTTGTCGTTTTCCGACGCGGGCGTGCATTTGTCGTACTTGCCGTTGGCCCACTGCATCGAGCACATCATCCATTCGGTCATCATCATGGGTGGTGGTCGCATTGGGTTTTACCAAGGCAACACACTCAAGTTGACGGAAGACTTGTGTGTGCTGCGCCCGACGCTCTTCGTGACGGTGCCGCGCCTGCTCAACAAGATCTACGACAAGGTGGTGAACGGCGCCCAGGCGGCGGGCGGGCTCAAGACGTGGCTGTTCAATTTGGCCCTTGACACCAAGCTGTCCAACTTGAAGCAGTTTGGCGAGTCGCGCCATGCTGTGTTTGACAAGTTGATCTTTTCCAAGGTGCGGTGACCCTCGTTGGCGTCGCCGATCGTGTGGCACTGACGTGGTTTGTCTGTAGGTCCAGACCAAGATCGGCCTGGATCGGTGCGAGTTTCTCGTGACTGGGTCGGCGCCGCTCGCGGACGACGTCATGAACTTTTTCCGCATCTTGTTCGACTTTCCTGTCCACGAAGGATATGGCCAGTCGGAAACAGTGACGGCGGGAACGATGACCCACGTGAAGGACACAGCATGCGGCACGATCGGCGTGCCCCTCACGCCGATGCAGATCAAGTTGGTCTCGATTCCCGAGATGGGGTACTACCGAGTTGAGTGACCATCGTTGCAATGACGAATTGTGTTTGTAGCTACAATGTCACGGACACTACGCACGGCGACGATGACGCCACACGAATGCCGGTCAACGGCCGCGGTGAGATTTGCTTTCGTGGTCCGCCCGTCTTCTCTGGGTATTACAAGGACCCGGCTCGCACGGCCGAAGCATTCGACGCGGACGGGTGGCTCCATTCCGGCGACATTGGCGTGTGGACGCTGGACGGGCGCCTCAAGATTGTCGACCGGAAGAAAAACATTTTTAAACTAAGCCAAGGCGAGTACGTCGCGCCGGAAAAGATTGAAAACATTTTGGTCACGAGCCCGTACGTGGCGCAGCCGTTTGTGTACGGCGACAGTTTGCACAGCGTCGTGGTGGCGATTGTCGTGCCAGAGGAGGCGGCGCTGCAGACGCTCGCGACGTCGCTCGGCATCACTGGGTCGTTCGAACAAGTGTGCGCCAACGACAAGGTCGTCGACGAAGTGCTCACGTCCCTCGCCGCGCTGAGCAAGAAGAGCAAGTTGTACGGGTTTGAAACGATCAAAGCGCTCAAGCTGATCCCGACGCCGTTCTCGGTCGAGAACGACCTGATGACGCCCACATTCAAACTCAAGCGGAACGAAGCAAAGAAAGCTTTTCTCCACGACATTGACGACCTGTACGCCAAGTGCGGCGATCTCGTGGCTGGCCACAACGTCCTCCAAAAGTAAACAAAATGAAACACGGATGCATGTGCCGGTGACGTTGTGTACACCCGCGGGATGCCAAACAAAATGGCACTTTTCCACGCGCACGACTTGGAGAGGAGACGAAGGACTGCTCATGACGCCATGGACGGTCGTGGTTTCGACCGTGCCGCGGCTTGCGGTAGGGTCCGAGCTGTACGAGGATGCGTTGGATTTTTAGCGCCGTGGAATTTGGGCCGCCCGCAAGCAGCTATCGACGACGCTGTCGAGGCAAATACTACTGCGCAGCTATTTGAGAGACCATTCCAACACAATTCTAGCTGTGCGATGACGGGAGCGGTGTTAAAAGTCGGTGCAAGTAAACGGGCTGCCATGTTTCTCGGTTCTTGGCATGGGCGCGTTGACCAACGGTGAAGAGTTTGGCGTTTGGAATGTCATATCGTTGGCGACGAGTGTGCCGTAGTTCTGGCGCAGGCGATCGGATGATTCGCGACAAAGGATAGCATCGAACACTTGCGGGAGCTGCCTGCAATGGAATTTGCCTCGATTATGCTCGTGTGAAGAAGGACGTGATCCTGGAGGTTGCCGGCGGCGCTGGAGGAGTTGGTGCCGTCCCTGGCGCCACCGCTTCTTTCTTGGTCGCAGGTGGAGGTTTCGTCCTCTCGGGAAAGTCGTCTCGCAGCCAGTCCAACGTCGGATGCGAATGGATGGCTTGCAAGACGTCGCTGTTTTTGACCGTTTTTCGCTTGGCCATGACCGCACTGTCGTGGCCTTTCGTCGTCAGGAATTGAATGAACTGCTCCTACACGAACGATTTGTCGAGTCGCCTAGACTGTCAAACGTGCCGTAGCTTTCGTGATCGCTAGCACCGCTTCCTTGGACACCTTGTGGACGTCGGGGTCGGTCTGCATGATGCGCTTGACGCGAGCTAGGGACGGATGACACACGTTGTCAAAACCAACGGCGACGAACCATTCGGAAGTGTCAAGACATGGTCGTCGCTCGATTTTGCACGCTTCGTGGAGGGCGCGTCGACGTCGATGCCTCGGTCGACGAGCGCTTGCTTCTCCTTCATGTATCGTTGCTTGTCCTCTGTGGCCTTGGCAACGTATGGCTGCACGGACTCTCAGGACGTCTCGCGAGAGGAAATGCATGTACACACCTCTTTTTCGACCGCATCCAGTTCGTTCCACTTGGTACTGAGAATCTTTTGCACGGGACCGATGCCGAGGCCAGGATTCTCGGCGATGACAGCGGCTCGATTCTCCGCGAGAAAATGAAAGTATGCCGACAGTGGTTTCGACAGCTTCTTCGATGAGGCGTCCTGTCCAAAGAGGTGCTGACGTTCGCTCACGTCGGGAGATCTATTCGCGTTTGCACCTGTACAATAGATCCGTGTGCTGTGTCGTCGTGGTCACTCTTGACATCGTCCTCGGCATTCTCATCGTGCTCAGCGGCTTCTCTTTCTTCGCCAGCAAAAGAATCCGATGCTTCATCTTGTTCGTTCAATTCCGCGTCGGAAGGAAACGCGTCGTTCATGTCGTTGTGGTCGGTGTCCGACTCCATCTTGTCTGCCGCTGGTTGCCGCCAAAAACGTCGCAATCCTGTAAAACCTAATAACCTGCGTATTATAGTTAGGAGGTTACCGCGTGCCATGGGATCGAAAACTTCACAACAGTGAAATGTCACTTCAGAACCGGATGGCAATTGTCAGCAGAGATTGTGGCAATCACATCGAAGATGGCCAACGCATCGTAGAGGCTGGGTTTGATGGAGCCACGCTTCTCATGGGAATGTGCATGGAGCGGAACTGCGCAACCATCCAAGTCGCCGAGTGCGTGCTCTTGTGCTTCCCTTGACGCTCGTGGTGTGATGCATATCCTATACGAACGATAGCAAGCACTTCTTGAGTAGCTGCTGCCTGTGTGCGGCATTGTCAACCTACCAAAGGACACCGAATGATTCGCATGTTGCCAATGACTTCGGCAAAACTTAATCTCGGTTACTGTTGTCCATGTGATGGCTCCTTGTGCAGGAATTTCATGGCATTCACCCATGCACTCGGGAGTATGTGCAGCAGCATCCCATGACTGGTCGAAACTTGAACAATTCTGCTGACGCTCGTCCTTTCTCCGAAAAAGTCGACGTGTCCATGCGAAGTGAGCAGCCGTGGTGGCGGTGATACGCATGATGTGGTCTCTGTGACTTAGCATTGTGGAAACCTCGTCGAATGTTCAGTGTCACATCCGTGCCACCAATAATCGACGTGACAACCTCATGTCAAGGGCACACCCATAGTTGCATGTTTGAATTGTCCACACTTGCCACTTCTTCCGACGGTCAACAGGGCAAATGTGCATGTCAATCGTTTCGTCGACAAGTCGATGCACCACCTCTAATCCACTGATGGCATACCTTTTGCCTCCGCAAAGGCTGTGAATCGCATATCGCGCGCAAATCTCCCCAGGAACGCCCTTCTGGTACACAAATAGGAGAGCTACAGTCGGCGGCAGCCAGCTGAAGCGATATCCTGCCGCCTCTGTCTTCGGCAGGAGGCTGTCGTGCCGTGCATTTCGACGAATCCGGATCCGGATACGTCGAATCTGACGAATCTTGTCACCACGGCGGCCTTGGTTTGTGGCGCATGGGCTGGTTGACGGGAACGCTGAGCATTTTCGTAGTCTGCATGAGCACCTTGTTTACGCCGCAAGGTCAAGGCATTGTAGTATACCTGAACTTCCCAGCGTTTCTATGGTTTTCGTTTGCCACACCATGGCGGCCTCAACCGGTGGGCTTTCCTGGCTTGCCATCGACGTCCAACCACTACATTCCCAGTACGAACAACGTCACACTTGGCGTGTGGTACACGCAAACCCAGCCCAAGTCTCACAAGCTCGTGTTGTATCTGCATGGGAATGGCGAGCATCGTGGCATGTCTGTGAGTGTGGGAAAGCATACGATGTATCCACAACGTCCGTTCGGCGCCAATATTCTCTCTGTCGACTACCGAGGTGGGGCATTCTGTGGTCACTGTCTGCATTATCCATTCAGCTGTGTCTTATAGGCTTTGGCGACTCCTCGTTTGTGTGGCCAACGGAGCAAGGCGTTTACGACGATGCCCTGGCGGCCTTTGACTTTGCCACGTCAACGCTGGGGTTTCAACCCCATCAAATTCTTGTTCATGGATACTCCCTCGGAAGCGCCGTGGCCACACGTTTGGTGCACAATCTTTGCCAGAGGTCAACGTGTCCAGCTGGATTGCTTCTAGAGGTCGCGAGGACGATAAATCCCTCACAAGATGTGCGTATAATGCCGTCTTGAGTAGGCTCCGTTCTTGTCGATCAGCGATATGGTTATGGAGATTTTACGAGTCAAAGTTCCTACTTCGCTGCTGCATCACCACTTCCCGACAAAGGCCATCCTGGGCTCGATTCCAGTGCCCATTTTAATCGTCCATGGCACCCATGACAGTGTCGTACCCATTCGGCATGGTGAAATGTTGGCCACAATGTTTCCTGGCTGCACGATGAGGTATTGTCCTGTTGCCGGCGCGAGCCACATGACATCGTTTGGCTATCGCGACGCCCGATAGTGTGTCACTGACACGTTCTGGTCGCACATTTGGAGTTGCTGTTATCGCCATTCTGCCACCATGCGGTTTCGGCGACTTGTGATGGACGCATCTCCCTTCGACCGCACTACACGAGCTGTTTGACAGAGGAGTCCAGCGTGACTTGGATCAGTGCGTACAGTCACCCCATTCGTCGTTGGAACAACGAATCGATTTGTGCAAAGGTGCTTTCGCCATTTCCTTGAAGATATGGGTCGAGCCCAGAACAACACTTCTTTGCCGAGGAGTGGTGCCGCTAAACGCGCTTGTAACCACGATGGAATTGTACATAGAACAGCGCTCAAATCAAATCCGAGAGAGCAGTTATGCCATTGTGAAACTATGTTTTACGATGATTCAAGTCTTAACTTCGACACAATATTCCACACACAGCTTGAGCCATGTTCCAACGACAACAAGCGCGAAGCTGCACGGCCAGCTCCCGCCGTGGCTTGCTTGTCCAAGCACATGGCTACAGCCCGGGCCACGCCTCCACGAGAAATTTACTCGATCGTTTTGAACGAAAGACTTACATGTCGATTTCAACTGAATGTGGTAGATACCATTGACTTTGTGGACCACGTTGCCAGGCTTGGCGTGATAAGGAGATGAGAGGACAAGAAAGTGTTTGATTGGTGGAACATTACAACCACACACGGATTGGAATGTTTTGATTGGCTGAAATGCTGCAACTCTAATGACCACGAGGCTAAGTTTTGGCGACAACGTTGTAGTCACTAAAAAAATCATGAGTGCGTTGGCCTTGACTATGGACAATATGAAGTATGAACAATTTGGTCGATGTTGTGTTTGCATGGTCATGCACTCCGGTGGCCACATAATTTTCGACCCAACATTCATACTGTAATCCCCTGCCCGAGTGAATGAGTGGACCAGAGGCTCCCAGGGAACCACGAAAGCAAGCACTCGATGACGGCCAAGATGCCATTGACGAAACAAATTGCTGTTGAACGAACAGGCCACACACCATGAAAGGTTGAGGATATTCTGGTGGCTGTGCTTGTCGTGGTAGATTGAGCTTGACATGGTTGTCCTGTGTACACGGATATTATTTGCTGTACAAGTCAAATATCCATGCTAAATCGGCGCCTCCCCAGGAGCGTAGACGTGCCGAAACCATAGCGGTCGGTGGGCAAAGCACTGCTTGAATTCCCACTGGAAACACCTTCGCATTGACCTGGTACGCAAAATCAGCCAAGTATCTAGAGCTTACTACATATTGCTATGGACAACACCGGTTCGATATGACTGTTTTTGATGGCCGCACGCGGGCAACTTGGCCGACGCTATACATACATCAACGAACATGACTAGGCTGGCGTACATGCGCCAAGAGGAGTAACTTGGAAGGCTTGTTCTGACAATGAAATTCACAGTCAAATCGCCTTGCGCCCCAGGACAACCATTTGTGTGGCAAGTCGTTGGCTTTACTCCAATGTTAACCACCTCGTTTCCAAACAAACGCGAATCGTCGAGACGATCTGCACTGGCATACTCACGCGTTACCATTCGTGCATTTTGGACTTGATCGTTGACGCGGTCATGTATCCATACGCGAAAAGCAAAGCTTGGGCCACGAGAAGTGCCAAGAAGCCTGTCGTTTTCAAGTGGGGCTCGTCCAAAAGCGCTTGAGGCGGCACGTGTTGAAACACGAGAACTTCTGCGATCGAGAAAGCAGCTTCCACGACGTGGACAATGGCCAGCGCAGCCAAGAGACCCTTGTTCTTGATGTCAACAGCAGCGGCAAGGCGAAGAAGGCCCAGGGAGATGCAGTAGACAGCGTACAATCTGCGGAAGGCCGGCACATTGTCCAACGCTGGGTCGGAAAGCGACGGCGTCAAGGCTGCAATTGGAGTCGACAGCACGTAAAGCCGAACGAATGTTTGCACTTCGAGTGCAAAGCCCAAGACCAAGTACACTCGCAGCAGCACCCCAAGCATGGTGGTCATGTCGATGTGAATTTTGTATCCTTCCAAGGACTACTAATAGTAATGCGGATTCACTATCATAAAGAATTACATGTAGTATATTGTATTGGATGGTTAAACCTCTAACATAATGCACTTAATTATAGTGTACTATAGAAGCACCTACTAGCACGATCTACCCTGGATATTTTATTGCACATCTCGCGAAACTGGTCTTGGGAATACTGGTAGACTCATCCTCGATCAATACCCCAGCGACGAGCTTACCGCTAGGGACCCAAGACCCTCCGTCTACACAAAAGGGCATCGTTCTGTGCAGCTGGCAGCGCCTCGCCCTTTGAAGTGACTCTGTTGCGGCGAGTTCACGTCGTCGTCATGCGAACAACAGGCCATCAACGGGATGAGCGCCTGCTCTGGAGAGGGCAGCGGCAATTAGGGACGGCATATCCAGAAGTCGGTCTGTGCGGTAGTCCGCGGGAGTGAGGAGCAGAGTCGCAACAGAGGACGATAGATGCAAAGATGTCGTCTCACGTCCAAGCGATGGTTCGTTACGTGGAGCATACATGCAGCCCCAGGAGGGTTGTGGCGTTGGACGGCAATATCACGTCGTCGCATGCACTGAAAGAAGGTTGTGGCCACATTTCGATGAACCAGTGGCTTTTCACCAACATGGGTGCACTTGGTAAGTTCTCACAGCGTCGGGACGAGTTTTTGCTTGACTCAGGCCGCGTCGAGATGGATTTCTACCACGCATATCCCCTGCACACCACGCAGACACATCGTAACAACGCAGCGTGTCGAGGAAATCGTGGGACAATGGTCTTTATCATGAAGAGTTTGCTGATGAATCGTTTTAGAGCTTGGACACGGGGCCGAGAATCACGTGATACAACGCAATGAGCACTACCACGATATGCACACCTGCGCACCCGATGTCCAGCGGCTGGGACTCTGGTAACCTCATCGTGGGGTATTTGGGTTGCTGGCGGAACCACCCCAAGAGGACACTTGTCCAGCAAACGGTCGATGCTACAAGGGTATCGGCTTGGCCAAACCACAAACTCGCAGAGGCGCCATTGGCACTGGCCAATGCAGCCATGAGTCCCAAACTCGCCGGCTCCAAGATCAAGTAGCGAAGTGTGTCAAACGGCGGAAGCGTCATCATGGCGGCTCTGTATATCGCATGGGCGATGACCCACGCGAGCGGCGACGCGTTGAAGAGAAAAAATCCGTCTTGATACGATACTGTGTTCCAAGAGATGGATTGCATCTCGAGCAAAAGCCACACGACAAGGCTCGCGCACGCAATGCGGTGGGTGATGCCACGAAGCGAGTCGCCAGTGGCGACGAATCCCATCATGGCAATGTTGCCAACGACCGCAGTGTTGATGAACACAGAGAACCACGAAAGATTCGACGCTTGGGATGTTGGTGATAGCTGGCCAAAGGCGACGACCGACCCCATGCCAAGTGGCCAAATACACACGAACTTGGCAAACACCGACACGGCATGGCGCGATAGGTCCCGTACCCGAACGAACCGAATGGATTCCGCAACCGACGTAAGTACGATCACGACCAACAGCAGGACCGGACTAAAATACAAGGCCGCAAAGACTGCGAGGATGGCGCATGCATACAAAGCATTGATGCCGACGATGGAGCGCGATGCTTGGTGCACCAGCGCCTGCATCGAGGGATGGTTTGTGGCAGTTTGAAAACAGCTTGGCGAATGTTTGTTTTGACTGACTCAAAAACACTCCCCTTTCGGGAGTGTATGTCGATGGCCGACGACTTCCTTGCCATGGCCCAATGTCGAAAGCAGCGTCGGCGGATCACTTCGGAGATGACATCCCCGCGACGGCGAAAGTGCGTTGGCTAGATCGTGTGGGTAGCTTCGACAGACGAAGGGCATCGAGGGAACGATGGGTAGCAGCCTTCGAGTGGCGGGAATGTTTAACACCCTCGTCGTGTTGGAAGGGATGTAGGGCCCGAGTGGTTGACCCTCTTTTCTGTGCTACATATTTCTGTCGGCGCCTCCACCCTCGCGGCCAGCAGCACGAGCAGGTTGTCGTCCTTCGTCGAGTGCATGCTCAAGACGAAACTTTCATGACGTTTCCGAAGTTGAGCAAAAGGTTTTTTCCACCTATTTCCAACACTTGAACTGGTAATAAATAAGTAGTTCAATTGCACTCGCATTTTTGGTCGATTTTGGCCGAAATGAGGATTTGACCACAGGTTCATTATCCGTACGATTTGTGCACGGTATCCGGATGAATCTGGGGACAATAGCAAGCGAAACGTCGGAGAGGCTGCAAATAGGTAAAACGTCCAAATGGGGGTTTAGCCTACTCTTGGCAAGACTTTGCACCATAAAACGTCGTGCGCCAAAAATCCCATGGCACGTTTTCAACGACATGCGGCGTCGACATGACGATTCCCCACCTCTGCGGTCCATTCAGTGTACAACGCGAGAGACGAGGCACGATGGCCATTGGGTACCGCACTGAGTAAACCTGCCTTATCTCACCCAACTCGCGATCTAGGTGCATTGCATGGGCGGACGTGCAGGACGCTTTTCCCCGCCATCGTCACCATATTGGTGGTGACGATGGCGGGGAAAAAGCGGCTCTAACAACGATCCATGGTTCGAAAGAACTTGCATTCGTTGCTGTAGCTACCGTCAAGAACGAGCCTCATTTGCTCGACACTCACATCGCTTCGTGAATGTTGACAAATTTCGAGCTGTGACAGTCGTCATGTGGGTGGATCGCCACTCCCGCCACATCGCATGCGCGTCCGGCAGCCAATGGAGCAAATATGTCATGTTCGTTGGGACCAATCCAAAGCGTCGAGACAGGTTTGCGTGGGACGCTTGTCGAGATAACCAGGCGCGAGACATTCCAAACCGCACGGCGGTGTGCAAATTCGCCCTCCGTTGATTGCAAAATGTCATTGAAGCCACATCACTTTGAGCGCCGGTGGTTCGACAGCGTCGCGCATTTCACGCGCCGTCACTTTCCAAATCCCCAAGTAGTGGCACGAGCTTTGAACCATGAGCGCCACCCCTCGCCTGCGAAATCTGACCATTGGCAACGACCTGGCCGGCGTGCGAACTCTGATCGTTGTGCTCGCCGTCCTGGTCGTTGGGCTGATCCTGTACGGAGCATATCAAACGAAGCGTGCCACCAACATCCTTCGACAACGGCGAGAATCCACCGCCGACACGTCCGTCGAGTACGAAATTGAAACCCCCAAGTCCACGACAGACTCCGCCGCTGTACCCGTCGAGATCGAATCGCACAAGCCCCCAGTCTAAGCCCACGTCTCCCTTAAGTTATCTATCTATTGCTAACGCGCGACAGAGTTGTGTTTGTTCACGATTCAATTCCTGATGCAGATGCATCAAGTGGCTCTGTCGACAAATGCCATCCGCTGCCCTTGACCACGTACCTTATCCTGCTGCGCTCAAGTCTTTCGTCCTCACGTTCTGGTCGACTTTAAACATATCGAGAGGTGGTCCCAAACCGTCTCTTCTGCGACGAAGCAATCATTGTGTTCTCGTCAAAGCGTTGTATTTGCCGACAAACGCACGCCACCCAATTCGATGCAGCGGGATCCTGGTTCTAGAGCATTCACCACGTCATCCCACTTCAATTTTCGAGATCGGTTGCGCAACCACCACCATGGAATTGACTCGCCTTCTTGTCAACCGGTTGTGCGGTTGCCGCAAGCTGTTTCTGCCTGGCGACGACACGGCAACTGTGCCTACGTCGTGGTCGTCGCCAGAGCGATAGATCCAAGTCCCGTGCTACGCATTTGAATATCACCCCACGAAGCGTGGTTGCGCTGTTGCCTTGAACAAGCACACGGGATGGCAGCCACTCGTAAACGCATGGCATTTCAAACGTTGGGGCGGTGACCTATCATGCAAGCAACTTGACGACCGACGCAGGTCTTGATGCCATTCCTTGTCCAGTGACACATTGTTACGAGGAGCACTGGACCAAGTCGACTTGCGCTGACCTTGTGTTTGGCTCTTCATGCGTGGCACGCGTTTCAAGAGTCGATGCTCCATGCAACAACGTCTTGAATTCATTTTCCGTTTTGATTCATTCGAGGGCATGGTGGGCGTTCCCTCCACGGGTCTCCCACCTGAGACTTTGTAGCCGATTTCTCGTCAAACACGCTAGTAGGTCCTTCGATGCTTTCGTCGTCTTTGCCGTGGATACGCCAAAGGTACCCCTTGCTCCTCTCTCGCTACAATGCTGTAAATGCAGATGGGCATTGCAATGCATTGCTCCAACTGCACCAAGTGGAGCCGACGTTTCCGCTGCAACGTCAATTGTCTTCAAGCGTCGCTCCATTCATGAGGACTACTTCGTTGTCAACGACCATGCGCGCATGGATGAGAAGACGTCATGCTCCCAAAGCCAAACACCATCATCGATTGCCCACGGCCTTGTCCTGCCATGGGCGAGGACACAGATCGTCCTCTCGTTGTCGATCCATTCAAAAATATTCAAAAATCACGAATTCGACGAAAATTTCAGTTAGCCAATCAAGCCACGACCGTTGAAACATTTAGCCAATCCAAATTCATTGCGATGAAAGGCTGGATAAATAAATGGCGAATGGATTGCTCTTTGAATAGCCTTCGCCCCCCAGTGTGACCTTTCGAACGTGTTCGAACCATCGACGGCTCCGCTAGTGCATTCCACAGCGCAAGATAAGGGAGGTCAGATCACAGAAATCACGACCTTCACCTACCTACCTGTGGAGCCCAACAGGTTTCCGAACTAGCGTGCTCTGGCCGACCTCGCGTAATGGCGACCAGGATGACGACGACATGGGTGAAGACGCCCCGTATGTGGTACATGCGCCGGCAATTCCACAAGACCCAAGGTTAAATGGCTAAACCAAGCAAGAGCGTCGCGTTTTTATGCGGGCGTACCAGAAATATGAGGCGCAAGTTGACGCGCTGAGACAGCTGGAGCGAGACCGTTCGTTATGCCGGAGTCCGCGTGTATGGATGGACCTTTTACCAAGCGGTCCGTGGCGCTGTCAAATCGCGGAGTCCGAATGGATTGCGTGGTTTAACGTGGCGTTCGAAGAAGAGATCCGTGATCTGGACACGCTGAAGAAACACCTGGAATAATAATAATACGATCCGATTCGACGTAAAGTTCCCCTGGACGCCGAGTCTCGTGTTGGCAAGATGCTGGACGAACTCATGAAGGCCCTGGAGCGCGACAACCAGGAGTGGATCTTCTACGAGGAGGGCAGGGTTGTCGTGGACATTATGGTCAAGGCGGTGCGGCCTTCGATGCCACAGTCTGCCGTAAAGAAGCAAATTCAACTGCAGCGCAACAAGCCGTTGCGTACGGATGTGTTTCGCTTCGTTCGTTTGCTGCGGACGTTCGCAGCTGGTAACCAAATGTACGGTGGGGTCGAGGACGAAGACAAGTTCTCCAAGTTTGCAAAAGACTCTGACAGCCGTGGCCAAGCACCGAAGAGGCCTGACGAGAAGAGGCCAGACGGGGGAGCAGGCCCGGCGAAGCCTAGGTCCTCGGGCGGGGTGGAAAGGCCGGACGAACCGCTCGCCCCTGCGAGGAAGCCGGCTGCATGTCTGCAGTGTAAGTCTAGTGGAAAAATCCAACTAATAATGGGCAGAAGCTTGGCCTTGTAGATGTTGTCGACTTCGTTTAAGGTAGATTTGTCCACGAGGTCTGTAGCTTGTTCGATAAGCAGGGATAAAGTTTGAAAGTGGTAATTGTTGTAGTCGACGACCTTGGCGTCGGGATGGGAAAAATCCTTAACAAGTACTTCTTGGAGATGCTTCGATATGCGCTCAACCCGCTTAAGTGCGTGGTACCTTATCTATGATGGGCCATATTCCTTTCTTACAGTCGAAGTACACACCATCAACGAAACGTGGTCTCGCAATTGCTGTCAAGAACATTACATTGAGCACAAAACGGTTGTTCTTCATTGGGAGTTTTGGCGTGCTTTCCCACGGAGTCAGGTATATACGGCTGCGTACCTTGAGAAGGAAAAACGACTTCTCGTCGAGAAGACATGGTC